TTTCTTGCCCAGTTCTAGTTTCTAGCCGTGTAAAGACGCTGAAACCTCCTTTAAATCAAAGCCAAACACCGACCTGATTAGATCTACCTCTGATTAAAATAACTGTGATCATGTATTTGATGTGATAACGTTGATTTATTGCTCGTTTCATGGCTGGTTCCTGAGATGTTTTATGGAGTGAAACACTCTGAACCGCCTTCCTGCTGAAATGTGCGGCACTAATAAACCTGACTGGAGTGTTTGGTCGATACGACGCTCATTTCAACACTCGACTCTGATCTGCATTAAAAATACATGAGCAGCAGAAACTGGGGAAACTCGATGAGATCCGCCGCACTTTTCAGGAATCCCAGCTCTGCTGCTGTCAACGTTCTCAACAAGGCCGCCGCCTCACGTTTACTCACTCCAACACCAGGAAGTGGAGGAAAAACCCAGAAACATGTCTGTTAGATGAGAGGATGAAAGAAAAGACGAGTGACATGGTGAGGATGAAGGGATGAAGCAAAGACAAAGAGCAGGGTGAGATATTGTCAATATTTCCTCCTGAGCGATGCAGCATTAAAAATGGATGAGTGGGTTTGGTTTCGCTCTGCAGCTCTGGGTGGGTCGATCCGAGGCTCCAGCTCTGCAAACCGAGGAGAAAAATCTGGTTTTGTTCCAGTTGAACCAGGCTGTCATCTCAGCTCTGATTACGGTTTTATTTCTGTTTAACCAGAGGATCATTCATTTCCACTGCAGAGCAACACGTTTACAGCAGCAGACATGTTGGTTTCTGCATGAATGAGTGAAAATGAGGCTGCAGCATTTCAGGATAAACTAACTGAAGCTGCTCTTCCTTTATACATGTGAACAAAACTGTTGATGTTCCACTAATGTGGAAAAACATAATTTCACAGCCGATGTTTCCATTAAATAAGAAACCATATTAAAGTCACACATGAACAATCAGTTTGTTCGCAGGATAAGTCGTTAAAAAACATGGCTACCTGTCATCCTCCACCACTTCCTGTCGTCTTCTTTGTCGTTTCCAGCAGTAGTAACATCCTGTTGTTGATCATGTGACTCGTGATGCAAAATAACTGTTTCCATTGCAGTTTTGCTGAAAAATCATTTCATCCAAGCAGCAAAACTTTCTATCAAAAAACGCTAAAATTGGAGTTTTTCCTTTGAGCGAATTTATTTTTGTAATCAACAAATGTAAGGTCGATGGAAACGCTGCTGTTTGGTGTTTATTCTTAATATCTGATGTTTTTAATGTCTTTCTACAGGCACTTTGAACTGTCTGTGTCTGCTGTGTCTGAAAGGTAAATAAACCTAAAAGTAACCTGTAACCATGGTAACCAGGGGCTGTGATGCGTGTTGCTAATTTGCTGCTCTGAATGTTGTTTTTATAAGAAGATAAATTAGAGTTTGACGAAGCTTTAGTCAGATCCTGACCCATTTATAGGTCTGGATCAGATCTATGAATGTCTCTCTATGTTATTTCTCCATTATCTGCTTCCTGTGCTTCGGCTCCTTCACGCCCCAGTGCTGGCCCGACGCCCTGAAGTGACAGCCGATCAGAGCGGAGGGGGCAGGTGCTCATCACCTCAGGGCATTACACACCCACATACCCCCCCCTCCTCCAAATGACACCGTCCAATCAGCTCACAGCCGCCTTAAAGCCACAAACAGTGACAGGAAATCCATAAATCTCTGCGTGTTGCGATCAGCGGCTCGGAGGAACGGCCGCGGCGGCCGGCACTTTGGGATTCTAGGTGAGTCTGAAGCATAAATCTGATGTGAGCCGCAGCGGGCCGAGCGACTCTGGGCGTTGGCTCCGGCTTTGAACAACATCAGACATCAAGCTGCGGCTGCAAATCAGGTTTGTATGCAACACTCGCACCTCAGAGCATCAAAGCCGCTCTGACTCATTCTTCTGCATATTTTAAAACCTGACATCAGAGAGCGGCTGGAAGTGTAAAAACTGCTGAAGTAACTGCAGATTTAATCCACTGGAGTCGTTTCTCTTGTTAATGGTGAGGTTAATGAAAAAGCCAAAGGGTATCTCCGCTCCGCAGCGACTCAACAGACACTCAATCCGTCTTAACCCTCTAAATATTCCTGCACTCTAAAAACCTGACACTCAGCCAGACCCGTAATCCGTCCATCGTGTCTGGGATCACAGCGATTCATTCATCTGGTGGCAGAAAGAAAGGGCAGGCTGGCGTTGCATTCATGTCATAATGTTCATTAAACTCAGATTTATCCCTCAGATTGAGAGGAAACTCGTTTCATATCTGCCGTTTCTCAGGTCGTTAAGGACCTGAGGTGGAAACATTGGTATGAATGTAAAAAGGCTTTAAAACTTTATTGTTTAATTATCATTTACATGCAACATTATCATGCATTGTTTTAGCTTGTAAAGCACTTTGTGCCGCCTGAGTTATTAGAAACAGAATAAATAAAGTTGACCTTTAACCTTCACGGTGCTGCAGAGTCGTCAGACTTTGTCTTTTATGGATCAGTAAACAAACAAACCGGGCTGAAATGGACCAAACATTCAGGAGGATTCAGAGTTTGGTTCTGCTAATCCGCTAACAACAGAGCTAATATGTAACTTAGCTAACTATGAAAACATTTAGCACACTAGCTGATTCATTTGGCTGTTTCTGTAGCTGCATTTCATTTGACCATAAAAATGCAGAAATTAGAATAACAAACATAAATTTGCTCAATGGCAACAAAGCAATTTCAAAATACAAATATATGTCAGAAAAGTGTCAACATCTGTTGCCATTTTTAATGAACAAACTAACAAACTCCTCAAATGCAAAGTTTTGTTTTTTTATCATTATGGAAAAGGTTTTGCACACATTTGAAATGGAAACACAGTTAATGACACATGGTGGTTTTCAACATGTTGCTTTAGCTTTAGCAGAACTAATGTTTCTGATTAGCGCTTTAGCGTTAGCACAGCTAACCTTTTAGCTAGCGGTTCCCACCACTGAGTTTGACCATATGGCCAATTAAAAATGAAAATTTATTAAATTTAAGGTGAAATTTTTGAAGTTTGACTTAAAAAACCTCCAAACATCTGTCACTAAACAATGGCTCAGTCTGTCCTTTTGTCTTTTCTCCAGCTTCTTTGTTCATAAATCTTCATTTGTATTTAATTTTCACCGCTTCATGCAGAGCGGTTAGCGACATGCTTTTCAGTTTTCCTCAGTTGACACTAATAAAATCATTTTTTACGTCAGTCTGCAGCACTTAACGCTGAGGTAACAGTTTTACAGTACAGCAGCTCATCAGCTTTTCCAGTTTTATTTGGCAGAAGCCAGAGAAGCAGATAAATAGGAGCAAATGTTGGAGCTAATTAGGTGGACATTCTGCTGTAAGGGAACAATCAAGTTCCTCTTTATCTGCTGGATCAGAGAATGAACATTTGTTTGCACCAACATGGAAATACGCCAATGTTTCTTTTGTAAGCTGTTAAAATAAATCCTGCATTTTCCAGCAAACCAAAGTGCCTGAATGTCAGACATGATGTTAATTCTGCAGTCAGTTTTCCAGAACCTTCCCTCTGTGTCACGTTGACGAGGTTTGCATTAATAACTCCGTATTACAGCCTGCATGCTCGGTTCGCTTCCTAATTGAAAACGCCGGCGATCAGACGCATTAATTTGACTGACATGGTTTCAGTAACGAGACTGATTTATTAAACCGTCACGGTTCTGCAGCCAGCAGAGATCAGCAGGAGACGAGCGCCGTCCTCCTGCATCTGTAAATCTGTGTGAAGTTAGAAAACATCTCAGGGAGAAGATGAAGGAAGCTGGAAAATGATGAAATCCTGTTTGAAACTCAGCTACTCTAAACAACCTTTAGCTCCTTCTTCAGGGCTACAAAGCTTTGCCAGCCCAAACGCTCGTTAGCACAAACAGGAAATCAGCCAATCACAACGCAGCAACTCAACGGACTGAGGAGTCTGGACATGAAGACGACGGGTTGATCAGTTCAGGATGCAGAAGAAAGCAGATCTAAGGGACTTTGAACGTGGTTCGGTTGTCGGTGCCACACTGTCTGATCTGAGGAGTTTCTGCTGATCTGATGGGATTTTCACCAACAAACTTCTCAGGATGAAAGAAGAGAAAACATCCAGTGATCAGCAGATAGTTTGGTTCCACAAGATAAAAAGGCGAAAAAAACTCAAAAAGCACATCAGATGTTAGCTGGGAACAGGAAACTGAGGCTGGAATAAATGACAACCTGCATGGTGGCGGCGGCATCATGCTGCGGGAGAATCTATTCTTTGGCACGTTTTGGTTCATTTATTACCAAATAAACATGTTCATCATAAAAACCTCCTGTAAGATTGTTGCTCACCATCTGTGACAAACTCCCAGCATCATAACTCAGCCAGTCACAACAGAAATTATTGCAATAAACAATAATATTGTCGTTTCAAACCATGTTTTGATTACACCCTCTGAAAAATCAAAAACTTTAATTCCTAAAGAATATTTAACACTGAAACTGGAAAACATTTTAAATATCCAAAAATAAACAAGTAAAACAACAATAATTTAAATGAATTATGAGATCTTTGATGGAAATCTTCGTTCAGCTTTGACAGGGAAAACAGGCTAAAGGGGCAGGTCATGCAAGCTGGCTACTTTATACTGGGTGCCAATTTTTTTGCAGCATTTTTCAACATTTTTCAGTGATATTGAAGGGCAGCATCTCTTTGACTGTAGTCCACATGGAAATTATAGATTTTATTTTAGTTTATCATGCAGCTGATTGATGAATTGCTTACTGGGATATGTTTAGTCGTGACAGCGTTTCGCACAGATCAGATCAACTCAACTTGATGCCACTAGAGTCCTTTCAGTCCCTGAAAGACTCATCTTCTCTGGTCTTAAAACGTGTTTGGCGCCGTTAACGGCCTTGGACTAGACCCCATGAGGTCAGAGATGGATGTAAGCTCTAACCAGAAGAGGTTTGGTGTTCAGTCTGTGCCTGAGAAGAACTGCTTTTCACGAACGGACATTTCCAGATGTGTTCTGTGCCATAAACGTACCGAGGCAGCGTCCCAGGTGTTTGACGTCGATCTGCTCCTGCTTCATGCACGAAGCCTCCCGCACCAGGCACGGGTTGTTGTACGAGTTTCCGTCTGTAGCGCAGACCGGGTTCTCATTGTGGCCGCTGCAGTCAATGTTGCATATGCACCTGAGGGCAAAGGTCAACCATCAGAACAATATCCCAGGAATGACTCACAGCACCACAACATTCAGATTATTTTAACTTAAAGCAACATTTCATGTTTCTGTGCAGCTTAATCCAAAGTTTGGATCCATCTTCTTCCTTCAAACATTAAGCTAACTCGCTAATATCACAATATGCTTCATCTGTTCATTTAATAGTCACCTAAATATGTTTTTAGTGGCAGTAAACAGCAGAGACACACTTCTGCTAATTTTACTTTTAGCTAACTTTGAAAATGTTTAGTGAACTTCGTTTTCCCTGAATCAGATTCTAAAGAGTTAAATTATTTTGGCTGCTTTGTAAACTTCCAGTTGAATAAAGTTCAACTTCTGTGTTGAAGTTTTGGTTATTAACTTAAGAATGCTTTACTCCTTTTACACACATGCTTTTATTTTGAAGGCTGATTAAGCAGGCGTTCCATTTCCTCTCCTCAAAAACTTTATTTAAAACAAGGACATGACAAATAAACTAAAAACATGGACAGCAGAGATCAAGAAATAAACACATCTAAGGGAATTATAAAATATATAATAAATATAACGTCAAAAATAAATTTAACCCTGAGAGTTAGTCTTTCAAGAGAAGATGTAACTTGAACTTAAGTTAGCAATTTAGCATTAGCATTTGGGTAAATACAGTGTCCATGTAGCATTTTAGCATTAGCAAAGCTAATGTTTACGAGTAGATTAGCACAGCTAACCTGTTAGCCAGCAGTGGTGACATAATGAACCAATGAAAGCTTTTGCTCACCAGACATCTTCGGAGTCTTCATCACATTCGGCTCCATATTTACACGTGCTGCACTTGGTGAACTTCTTCCCGACGTCGGAGGCTGAGCCCTCATCGTCTGTCAGACGGGCAGAGAAGGAAAACGCTTCAGGAACAGCTAACACTTCTTCACACTCCTGCCTACTAGGCTGAACTCTATCCTTTACTGAGCCTCGTAGAAATATTCACACCCCGTCACATCAAACCACAAACTGTGTGTTTGTGCGCTCTCAGTCCAGACCCGCTTGTCCTCTTCATCCCTCTAATGCCATATGGCGGCAGCCATCACTGGGATGTTTCTGTGGACTTCAGGAGGCCCAGTCTGTGACGGAGGAGAGTTTCTTCCTCCGCTTCCTGTGGACGATGTGATGAATCCAGCTGGTTGTTCATCAGTTGTGTCTCAAAGTTTCTAGCCCAGCTGAGAGCATCTTCTGCTACAGAGGATAATAACTTCCTGTCCAGGAAACCAACAGCTTTCAGAGGGAAGCTGATTTCCAGCAGATTATGAAGGTCACTCTGCGTTTTTCTACTAGCAGGAAAATGATAAAGGCCCTGAAAACACCAACAGGAAGCTAATAAACCTCAATGTTTGGTTTATTAAACTTTATCTTCCAGTCTGGATCTTTGATGTTCTATAAAAGCACCAGAAGAAAAACTTTCAGAAGTTTCATCTGTTTCCTCAAAGTCAAACTAAAGCTGAAGGAAATCCATCATCCTTCACCTGTGACTGTTTCTGGTTAAACTGGTTTTAATTTCCCCTCCTGTCGGATTCTGCTCCGCCGCCTGCGCAGCTCTTTATTTTTCCAGATCTTCATCGCTGAACGTAATAATCAGCTTTTTATTTGTTCTGCCTCTTTTCCAGAAGAGTGGCTTAATTTCATTTTGAAAACAACCTGCAGCTCGCTCCGGGTTTTGTTCTGGTTAGCGGCGCCTCTTCCCGCCATCGAGACACGCCACGGCTCAGGCGCTTTCCTATCAGACACAGCTGAGCGTGTGGAGAGGCTGCTCAGGCTTATCGGCCAAATGGAAACAGAGGCGCCACATCATCATCTGATATTGTTATTATCATTACGCCGTTTAATGCCACCTCGCATGGCGACGTCCATTCTCCAGCAGCGAAGCGCTAACAGCCGCGGCGCCGAGTACCAAAGAGCCGCAGGGATTATTCAGGGCTGCCTTTCATCAGCAGAGCCATTTTCATGATTCATCAGGTGCAATTTTGTTGTAAAACAGAAGAAAAGCTGAATCCTGCAGGGAGAAGGAAACTAATCCACAGCAAAACGTAGAAACCAGGAAACGGAGCCTGGAGGTTTAGGATTGTTGCCTTAGAAAAGCAGTGAAACCCGATGGAGGAGTGAGATTCTCTGCATGTGTTTCAGGTCTTCTGGGCTCCAATTTCCTTTATTTATTCATTTTTTGCATATAAAAGTTTCAGCAGGAACTTTTATATTGTGTTTCTGGTACACCGTAAATCCACTGAGAACAGCAATAAACAGCGAAGCTGCTTCTCCAGGAGGTTAATGATGAAAAACCCTGTTACTGTGTTCAGGTTGTGCTAAAAGGAGTTAGCATCTTAATGCTAACATGTTGCTAATGCTAATGTCCGCGTCCACAGTCCATGTTTCTGAAGAAGCTCCATGAACGATCAGGACTTCAAGAAACTCTGGAAATATGAACTTTGCTCCAATCTGATGGCTGAAAAAAGTGTAAATATCTTTGTTTTTATTTTGTAAATTCAAAATTTACCATCAAAAAGGCTTTTTGAATTGAAAATGTTGCTCATTTTGTTGATATATAGTTTCAGTAGAATAGGATTAATTACTTACTGGCCCTAAAATTAGCTGTATTAGTTTTTAATCCCGTTCCAACACTAGTTTTTATCTGAAGCACGTTTTACATCGAGTCTTTGCTGTTCCACATTCTGGGAACAGAAAAGGATCAATTCCTGGAAATACGCAGCAGAAACGAACATTTAGTTCCTGAAGGTCGTGAGATCGTTCTGCTTTATTTCCATTCCAATCCTGGATGAAATGTTTCAGTTACTGCATCTGAAAAATTAAAGCAAAACAAAATCAACACACAAATCGAAGCAGCTAAACTGCAGAGGTGTTCACAGGGCCTTTCTGCTGCTTTAAGAGCAGCAGCGTGATTAAACTCTCTCGGTGTGTGTGTGTGTGTGTGTGTGTGTGTGGCTGACAGATTGGCCTGCTGTGTGTGTAGCTATCGAACATGGAGGGCTCAGTCGGCGTTCCATCGATTGACGCGGATCTGCAGCCGAGCGGCGTCTTTGTTTCTGCTGACAGCAGGACGCCGCTGCTTCCTCTCTGACTCCTGTTGTTGTTTCCCTCTTTGCTCTCGCTAATATTTGCCTCCTGGCTGAAAAAGGTTCTTCTGTTCAAGCGTTAAACCCGGCCAAACACAGATTCTGTAGCCTAAAACAGATGCAGCTTATTATCACCAGGTTTGGGTCAGCAGCTCACAGACTTCCTGCAGAGAATGGAAATCACCGGCATGATGCTCACGACCCTGAACAACATTATGGCTTTAAAGTTTTATTAATATCCAGCTCAGAAAACGCCTAAAAGACTCAAACTGATGTTTATTTTATGCAAAGTTTGCCTCTGACACAGCTGGGAACCGCTGCTGCGCACAAATTTAAATAATTTTAAATAATTTAATAAATAACATGAGTTAAAAATAACCTGGGACGTGGATGTGAGCCTGAAGGAGCAGCAGGAAGTTCTGGTTTCTGGTCCAAAGCAGAACAAATCATCCAGAACGAAGTCAAACCATGGAGAAAATACTCTGATCGAACTAAATCTGAACCTGCAGCCACGACTGAAAAAGATAAACGTCACAAAAACAACTGAAAACCTTCCATCACATTCACAGTGAAGCACGGGGGAGGCAGCATAGTGATCTGGGATTAGGTTTCTCTAGAAAGTTGAAAATGGATTTCAGTTTTTAGAAGAAGTGACCAATGATTAGTCCAAATCGAGAAAAGATTAAAGTTTTGAAGGTCCTAATCAAAGCCCAGAACTAAATCTGAGAGGAATCACCTGAGATAGAGGATTTTATCACAACCTGACAGATTTAATCTGCTCCTCAACCATCAAGTTGGTGCAAAGTTCGTCTTTCCAGAGTTCCAGGAAGCCCTGATCAGTCATGGAGCCACTTTAGAAATGTGGACGCTGACATCAGCATTAGCTGCTACATGTTTAGCACTGACATGCTAATTAAGGCTTAGATTAGCTTAGCTGACAGGCTAACTCTGTTTAGCACACTGATAGTCTTTTCCAGCGAACAATTTTGCTGATTTTTTTCTGCAAAAATTTATTTTTGAAGCAGAAATTAACCCTCAATATGCTGAGAGAAGCAGTTCTGTCGTCCATCACTGCTGTTTAAGGATATTGCTTGCGCATTATGAGTGTACCAGAAACACAACAATACAAAGGTTCCGCCTGGAACAATTGTTTGTAAAACATAAGGTTTGTGCAGCACTATTTTAAACTTAATAAAGATGTAAAATATGTTTTCATTCCCATGACCAGGCGTCACTGAGTTCATGTTCTGGTTTAGAGCCGTTTATCCGCTAATTCTCCAACAGTTGAAGCAGCAGAGTTGGAGGCTGTTTCAGTAATTAATCTCAGAGGTTTGACTGTTTCATCGCAGCGGCTCGTCGGCCCGCCGTGCAGATGGAGGAGGCAGCGCGTCTCCAATAAAACCTCCCTGCAGCAGCCAAATTAAACAGCAAACCATGTGGCCGTCCTCACAGGTGGCTGCAAAATGTCTCTGTTGCCAAATTTGGCATCGACGACGCTTCCATCTCCGCAGGACGGAGAGATTCGCTCCTCTGGGACGACTTAGCGGCTCCTCGCAGGATTCACTGCTGCAGTTAATATGCATCAGAGGAGGCGCAGAAACACACAGCCGCTCCTCCTAACGCAACACGCTCAGACCGGCAGCAGCCACTGCTTGTGCAGAGCAGACCAAGACTCAGCTGTAATTGATTTCTGTTTGACTTTCAGTCACAGCAGAAGTGAAGCAGGAAATGAAATCTTTAAATAGCCCAAAGAAAAAACCCAACAGAGTCTCACCGTCTCCGTCTCCTGAACCAGAACCGGGATCTGTGAAGACAGAAGAGACACGCAGCGGTCAGACGTTTCCTCTGAAGGTCCTGATTCTCAGGCCAGCGGCCGGCTAACCGTTACTCTGCTAATGCGCTAACAGCAGAGCTAATTTTAGCTTAGCATCTTTAGTAACTTTGAAAATATTTAGTGAACTTAGCTTAGAGCTCAAATGTTTCTGTTTCAAAGAATCATTTCCTAACTGTACAGGTGGGGGAGCAATTATGGGATGTCGTTTCTAAAGATACACAGTCAAGAAATTACAGCAATAATTTGGGTTATTTGGTTTATAACAAAAAAAAGTTAATTTTTAAAGTCATGTTTTCATCATAATTCACCAGTAATTTATAAATGTCAGTTTCAAGCTAAATATTTAGTTTGAAACAAGATATTTACCTCACTAAGTATTTAGTTTGCTAAGTGAAAACTTAATCATAGATTTATTGTTTTAGCATTAGCTTCTGCTAAATAGCATGTAGGTGTCCAGTGCAGCTTCTTCCAAATTCAACTCAATCAGCAGAAAGACGGTTAAACCCCGACCACAGCGAGGCGACCTTAATGGACCAGAACCGGTTCTGGATGGGATAAAAACCGACTTGTGGTCTGGTTGGCTCAGACCTGCAGCTCCATCAGGAAATGGAGCGCCTGCTCCAAACTTGGCTCTGATGCACTGAATTAAAGAAATGAAGGCAGGACTGGGAGTTTCTGGCACGGCGGTGTCGCATTAAGAAATGGACTCCAGCTGCTTTCTTCCATTAAACTTCACCTTTCTTCGTCACAGAGTCCACAGGAAGTTGTTCTTCATCCGAGGAGGGCAGAAACAGTCGGACACTTTCGTGGCTTTGCCAGCACGGCTTATTGATCTAATGTGAGAATTTGGCTTAAAACTTGCAGGTGAAACTCGGCTTCAGTCTTTTGGAAAGAAAAATATCAAAGATCTGAGTGAAAAATGGCTGAGTTGTTATTGATTCCCTGCAGGCAGATTTACTGATGAAGCAGCAAAAACAGCGACTGCAGAGTCTGGAGGGAGCAGGAAGAAAAACACAGAGAGAAACTCTAACCGCATAAAACCAGATGAGACAAACAAGTTTATATTTATTTTAAATAGATGAAGCTGACATTCTGCAGCTTCAGTTCACTTTTGTTTTATCACTAATCTGCTTCCACTTAGTCCTGTAGGATTAAACTGAAAGGCAAACAGCTGCAGAATAAAGACTGAATGTAAAACACAGTGAACGCTGAAACGATGGGTTAGAGACGCAAACAGGTGTTTCACACAGACAACTCAATAAAAACAGATGGAAAAATCAGAGCAAACGTTATAAAGAATCTGTCCGGGTCCAAACCAGAGTCTGAACGAAGGAGACGACAGCTTTCAAACGGCAGCGTCGACATGTGGGCTGAACTCGGCAGAAACCATTTCATTTGAATTAGTTTGTTTTGTTTTTGTGTTTGGCCTGAATCTGCTAATTGAAAATGCAACAAAAAAAAAGTCCAAGCATTGTGGTGTAGCAGACATAAAAAGTATTTTATGCATTTATTTAGATTTGGACCCGTCTGTCTGCATTTTGGGAAAAGTTCCCAGGCATTTGGTGGACAAAGACAATAAATACTTAAAGTTTTTTTGCTGATTGTGAATAAATGTAAAACATCTGCTGGTTAAAAGTCAAACTCCCAAAGGAGAAGCAGAATTAAAACTGTCAACATTCTGGAAAAAACAACATAAAGACTAAAAGATGGAGACATTTGAAGCTAATCAACAATGGAATCCTGACAACTGTTCGAGTGTAAATATTTCCAGTTTAGTTTGTACTATTGATATTATTGATAATTTGTTCTGCTACTACTTGTTTAGTTTGGTTTATTTATTACTTTCCATGTCTTTATTATTGCTTTTTTCTCTGAAGTTATTTCCTTGTTCACTGACAGATTAACTTTTCTTAGCTAAATGTTTATGTATTTCAGTTTATCTGCAGTGTCCAGATAAGAAAATTAAACATCTTGAATATTTAATGTGGATGAAATGTTTAAAATTAAGGACTGCGGCGTAAATAAGATGCAAGATGTGAACAGGGACGATGATGGACAGCTGTGTGTAGAAAATAAATTTAAGGTTTGGAAAAAATGGATAAAACTCTGGTGTGTTGTGACCAGAACCGGCAGCGACCCGTTTGGACCGCGGACGGGTCGGCTTTCTGTTTCTTCAGCTGCGACAGCAGAACCGTCTCCTGGTTTCTGATTCCATCAGCGAATCGCAGACGGAGGAAGAATTAGAGAAAACGTCCATTAACAGCTGCTGCTTCGGCGCCGCCGGATCAGCAGAAGCTGCTGTGGAAATGAAACGGTTAATGAAGCGAAGGAGAACTCCTCCTTGACCTTTAACCTCTGCTCACTGAGGCCTGGACGTTTCTCTGACCTGACTGCTGGGAAGATCTTTCTTTCTTTCTTTCTTTCTTTCTTTCTTCCTTTCTTCCTTCCTTCCTTCCTTCCTTCGCCGATCTTTTGAGCGTTCTGCCATGTGGAAGCAGAGCTGACGTCTCTGCTGCAGCCATAGCTCTTCCTCCTCCTCCTCTTCCTCCTCCTGCAGCTCTGCAGTTATATTTCATCAGTGAGAAAATTAAACCGGCTTCTCCTTCCACTCCAGAGTCGATTCTGAAAGCCCAAATCTAAAGGAAGCGAAGCGGCAGCAGATGAAGCTTTTCCTCGGCTTTCTGAAGTCCAGAGTTTTTCCTTCACACTTCGGTGGCAAACAGCGCCGACTGGAACTGGATTAAATTCAGACGGATAAAAACCACACAGCAGCCCTGAATCCTGTCATGAAAGAAGTCGGTGGCGTTACGTCTGACTCACAACCTGTTGCATCAGAACGGGCCGTTAAAACGAGGAGAGTTCAGCTTTTCAGTGAAAATCAGAGAAGCTGTGGAAGCGACGCCTCGTGTTCCGGTCCAGACCTTCGTCTAAAACAATCTGTCTGAGGTCGGATCTTAAAGGCAGTCCGACCCCACATGTTTTTATCTTGTTTTTTCCAGTAAACATGTGGAACAGGAACCAGCAGCGAGGTGAGGAAGAGGAGGCTGAAGCATCACCTCTTCCTGTTGGCTGAGGGAAAACAGTGAAGTCCTGCAGGGACGTCGGACTCCAGTCAGCTGATCGTCCTGCTGCTGACGTTCAGAGAAAACTCTTCATCACTCAGAAAACCTTTAGGAGATTTAAAAAGGCCCAAACTTTTAGATTAGAGAATTTTTATGGTTTTTATCAGCAGAAACAAACATCAACACAGCAGTGGTGATTTTATGCTGATGCTAACACCAGTTAGCATGCTAATATCAGTTAGCATTAGCATCTGAACGTTGTCTCTGCTTTTGGCAAGTTAATAAACTTTAACTGCTTTATGCATTTTCAGAAACTACTCAAATGTTAAACAACCTGATGATAATGTTACTTAATTTATGCAGAAGCTCCATCTGCACTGATGAAGATTCTCTGTTAGTTGTTTGGATTTTCTGTTTGCTTCGTCCTTTAAACTTTGATCTGTTTTAGTTTCTTTGTTGCATCACCAACAAAACGCCCGACAATCAGTAAAAACGACTTCTGTTCCTTTATTCAACGCTCTTTAATGCTGCAGTAAATCTGTTCTTATGTTTGGAATCAGAAACGGATCTAAAACTGAACCAAAACGTTGGTAAGCGTCTAAACTCTAAAGTTTCTGGAACCGGTCCAGAACAGCAGAATTATTTGTTCCCAACGTTCTGCATGAAAAAATAAAACATAAAACCAGTGAGCGGTTTCCAGTTCAGAGGCTCTGAGCTTCAGGAGATTTTAATGACTTTCATCAGGAGCTCCTAATTAAAATTGATCAGTTGATTAACCGACTCGTCCTCACAAATCAATGAGACTGATGATGATCTGCAAAGTTTAGCGCAACAACCAGTCTGTTAAAAACACAACAGCCTGGAGAGACGGCAGGAAAATCACACAACACCGCATTTTAAAAACTAAATAGTTAGCTCTGAGCTAAAGCTCCAATTTAAATACTTGGGTCCAAACAAAATATAAGTTTACCAACTAAATATTTTTGCTCATCATCTGAGGCAAATATTTAGCACTGAATTAAATATTCAGCTTCAGGCTGAATATTTACCCTAACAACACCCTAACAATTATTAAAGAATTAATGATAAATAAAAAATTAACCATAAATAATTTTTAATCCAAATTATTGGATTAAAATTTACCCAAAATAACCCAAATTATTGCTGTTAATTTTTGACCACATAAATTCACAAATGGCGTCTCATGGGTTTGGGACTAAACGTTTTTTTTTTTTTACGTTGATTAAATTGTTGACTTTGAGTGAATGAGTCAAAGTCAAAATTAAATCCTGATGGCTGTAAAACAAAACAAAACAAAAAAAAACCGACGTATTTTTGGGGCAGAAGCTGAACTTTAACTGCCTGGAACCTTAAAGCGCCTCCTAGTGTTTATTGTTAAAACTGCTGCTAGCCCCTAGTCAGTATCTGTCCAGGACTACATGGGCTCCGTGTATTTGCTGGACTCAGCTCTCAGTAACTGTCCTGGGCTCCGTGTATTTGCTGGACTCAGCTCTCAGTAACTGTCCTGGGCTCCGTGTATTTGCTGGACTCACCGGCGGAGCAGGGCCCGTCATGGACTCTGGAGATGGATCTCTGCTGCTTGCAGGACGCCAGCCGTCGGTAGCACTCGTTCTGGTAGGTGTCTCCATTAGAGCCGCACACCGGGATGTAGTTTTTGTGGCACTGCGGGTCAAACCCAGAGGTCAAACTGGTCAGAAATGACTCAACAGTGGCAGTAAACATGCTTATCAACGTGAATCCTGAAAACTTAAGACTTTATGAGGCGCAAAGAGGAAAACCCTAAAGCAGCTCCATGGTGTTTCTAAAGCAGAAATCTGCATCATTGTTTCCAAACTTAAATGGAAAAGACAGAAACAGATTCAAAGAATATTTTTCTGCTCTGTCTGTGATCAGTCCCTCAGTTTCTGTGCAGCTTCTGGTTTTCAGTTGGTTTTGTCAGATCTTTGTTTGGATTGGACAGAATCCAGCTGAGGTTCTGATTAATGGAGGAAAACATGGCAGAAAATAACAGTGGAGAATAAAACTTAGAAACAGGTAGTCACTGCTGAGCTCTTTGAATTTCATGTCCTTAGAAAATAATCCGATCAGATTGTGTTGCCCAACATGGCGACGCTCCTCTGCCTGTTAATGAAAAGCATCTGAGCCATCAGGATGTTTGGATTTGTAAATCCATATCCAATCAGAGCGGGAACAGCCTGCAGGCCTGAGACCCGGCTGATGAGTTCTGATCGGTCCAGATGAGTGTTTGGGTTTGGTACCAGCTGAAGACTGAGAAACTAAAAATCCTAAAAAGCAGAGGAGCTTGGTGCTTTAATTAGGACGTTCTGGTTGGGAAGACGACAGGATGAAGCTGAAAAAGTTTCCTTCAAGGAAATTTATCACTAATGCATTTTGGAGAAACACATTTGGAAAATAAATTCTTAATAATTTGAACCAAATGAGGCACTAATATGAGGAGCCGTTTGTACAGTTAGGCAAAAATTATCAGCAGTTATTTGGGTTGTTTAGGGTTCATCTTCTACAGTCATAGTTTCACCATGTTAGCTTCCAGGCTAAATATGAGGCTCCAAACTAAATATTTAGCATATTTAGCTTTACATATTTACCTTAAAGTTTAACCTCATTTAGCTTAAAGCTAAATATTTAGTTTGAAGCTGTGACATTCATTAATGTGGCATTAATAGGTAACATATGACTTTGAATAAAGATCCCTTTATTAAGGCTAAATAACCCAAATTATTGCTGTTATTTTTGATGCTCTGACTTCACAAACATCCCTTACAAATTCCTCTGAGCAGAGACATGATTATTTAAAGTCGCCTGAAATGCTGATAGATGTTTTCTGTGGTTTTTACCTGGAACTGGCAGACGCATTTGAGCTGCGCGCCGTCGTCTTTGCATTCGCCTCCGTATCGGCAGGTGGAGACGTCGCAGACTCTCAGGTCGCTCTTCTTCTCTGACAGATCTGCAGCAGAGACAGGAAATCATTTAAAGCTTTAAAAGATGAAAACATCCAAGATTTTACTCATTTTTAAGGATTAAAATTAGCACCAGAGTCATTATTTATTGAATTTATGCTTTGTGTAAGCTTCGTTAAACCACTTTGTTCTCTTTAAGCACCAAATAGTTTCTGTTTATTTTGTGGGAAATGGATGATACAGTCATCAAGCTGACATTCATCAGAGCGTCGCTAACGAGGAACATTTCCCAAAATGTCAGCGTGTTTGAGGTCGCAGCCGGCCGCCGGTTTCCAAACGCAGAGAAGTTTCTCCTGCTTATCCTGAATCAGTTCTGCCCTTTACAGCTTTTTATGAGCAATCAGTTAATAAAATGTCACAACGTGACTCCTCGATGGCCGCTTCCTTATCTGGCAGAGCTGAAGAGCAGATTAACCCCCTCACACACACACACACACACACACACACACACACACACA